CAGGTCTAGCTTAAGTGATCCAATATAGGTAACCCTTGATCACTTAAACGATATTTGATGTCGCTTAAGCAATCATGACCAACACATATTAATTCCATATTTTCTCCTCAATTTGACAATCTAATTGCACCAACACATATTAATTCCATATTTTCTCCTCAATTTGACAATCTAATTGCACCAACACATATTAATTCCATATTTTCTCCTCAATTTGACAATCTATTTGCGTCAACACATATTAATTCCATTTAACAAGATTACTAAATAAACTCAAAGTCAAAAAAGGAAAAGAAATACTTAATTGCTCTTTATAAATCTGAAATATGTCAATTACATGAAAATACAACATTATAAGCAAGAAATAAATGTCCTAAAGCAACCCAAAATAATAGCAGCCTCGAAAGCCTCTATCATCCCTCTTCATCATTGTCTTCAGCCACTTCCCCTTCCTCCAAAATTATTCAGCACCCCTTTAGCATCATCATCAGCAGCAGTAGCCTCTTCGTCTTCTTCTATAGCCCCCCTTCCAACATTATCCAGCCTTGGTCTTGGCAACAAAGCATACATAACATCAATTTAATGCACCACAACCCAATTATTAACAACCTGACGCCTAACAACACCAATTGATCTAATTCAAGGCAACCCAATTATCCATATAAGAAATGCAATTCACATTAACTACAAAACTCTAAGTCCAACTTCCATACCTGTTGATGACAGCATCAATAATGACTTGGATTGGGTTCTAGTCAATCAAAAGGTTTATAATGTCCATGGAGTGCTTCACAATCCTAACAACCATCAACAAAATTTGTATTAATAATGAAAACAACATTATAATGAAAATAGCAGAATTTCCATGTTCAAGTTACCTGTGCCCCAACAAACAACATTTCATTAGCAAAAACCATGCAATAGACTTGGCCGACTGGTCTATTAAGGCTAAGTTCAGCCGATGACTCAATGATCCATGCCTACAACATCACCAACAAACACAAAATAAAAGAACTGGTACATCAAGAACTTGTACAGATTAGTGATCACAAACATACCTTTCGCAGTAACTAAGGGATCCATATGATCGTGAAAACACTCAACAACCAAGCGCTCCCAAAAGTTGCTTATTGTATCATCATCCAAGTTGTCCATTGGGGTGTTGGTCATGTCGAACTCAAGAAATTTTAGTGCATATACCCCGCAATAAGCACTACAATATGAGGAAGACATTAGTATTAGAATCAGCTTATAGAACAATTGTATTGTGTAAGTTTTATACAAAATTTATCTCGCGTCATTTGTTGGGACGGGAACGCGCTTGTGTGGCCACTTTCTCGTCAATAGTTCATTACCCAAGTGCTAAAACATCTTGCTGTATCACAACAACTACGAGAACAATGTACACAACAATTGCATCTCCATGTCCAACTGCCTCTCCCGACAAATACTCAGGTTGCAATCAAGGATTTGTAGCAAGCCTTCCTCCAATAGCCAAACGACAGTTATCCAATGCATATCCTTGATCTTTACAATGCAGTATACTCTTTTCACATTTGCCCAACTGTTGCCATATTTGGGCCTTTCCCCCTTTACATACTGCATCATCCTCTCATCAAACCGATAATCAACAAAGACATCATTAAACTCCTCTACGACCATTCTTTTCCACTTGCCTCCCCTTGTTGGATCTCCATCATTGGCCTTTTTCAATAACATCTCATATATACTTACTAGGCTTTGGCCAAAGGACACATCGGTGATGGCGTAGTGTGGATAAAAAAGATCACCATTAGTGCTCTGACGCTACCTCATAAATGTCAATATCTCATCATGATATATGTCTTGGCAAACATGATATAACTATTTTTTTCTCAAGCAATCTATTTTTTTAACAGATCGCTTGCCTCACGGAAAACATAAGAAAAAATAAGGAAAAATACGGGAAAATAACCCACCGAGTCATCAAGCCAGCAGCCCATTGTCAAAATTTGATCAAACCACTTTTGGGGATAATCCTCGATCTTACACTTCACACAAACATCGCTTCCTTCATCATTGTAATAGGCATAAAAGGATTTTTTTTCTCTTTATCATCTACTGGCCTAAACAAAGCAAGCTTTAATTGCTTCACTTCCCCACTTCCTCATTGTTCCTCCTTATCAACCAGTTTAGCTTCCCCACTTCCTCCGGCTTCCTCCCTATCAGTCGGTTTAGCTTCCCATTTCCTCCAACTTCCTCTTTTTCTTTCGTAACTCTCCTCTTCTTTAGATACATTATTTCCATGAAAGGGGATTTCACATGCTTGTTTTTTCGGGTCTCTCTTTTCTTCAGTTGAACTTCAACCATTTCCAAGACCACATAAACCTTCTCCTCCACCCTTTGCACCCTCTCTTCCAATTTATCTACCTTCTCATAAACGGTGCTTCTCAACATGTCAAACTTGTTGTGTAGACCATTTATGAGGTCAACCAACTTAGATTGAGGATGCGTTGAAAATCCGGTACTTGGTGGCAAACCGGTACTTGGTGTACCAGTTTGCCAATTAGGAGGAGGCATACGAACCTCAGCCTCCATGTCTTCCTCCTCAAACACATGCTCAACAAGCGGCCCTTCAACTGCAGTGAAATGTGTGACTCCTTGTACGTCCCGTATTATGCAGTCTATCTTCTCATCAGAAACATCGTCCAACAGTACGAACGATGTAACATAATCTATCACCGATTCAGCCCTAGTAGGAGTGATGAACGGATGGACCATTCCCTACAAAAAGAAAAAAAATCAATCAAATTTACAAAATCATTTAATCTATTCCATATTCAAAAAACAAATCCTTTAATCTTACCCGAGCCACTTGAATTTCAATTTCTATTTTGTCATAGTCCCAATGGGCGCTCTTCTTGGTGTCCGACCACAACATCCTAGGAAATTACGGTGCCTCATCCGAAGTCTCCTTTTGCCCTCTCGCCTTAGCTAGGACAGGGATGACCTCATACATCCAAGCCTACATTGTAAAAAAACAGTTCATATCAGAATTAAAACACATATAATACAAAATAAATAAGCAAAAACCTATTAATATTTACCTACATTGCCCAAGGGAAGCCAAACAAATTGTATATGCTGGGTTTCTCCTTCTCGACATATTTGCAGTATTTTATCGCCATGTCTTTTCCTCATAGGGAATCAATAGTTAATTGAAATGATAACCTTCCCCATGGATAAGAATAAAAGAAGTCATGGTTACTGCATCGCACCAAATCCAGGTTTACGGCTTTTGTTGAGTCACAAGCCATCAGGATTGAATGTGCGAACCATACCAAGCACATTCGGAACTTATCTGAAAAGCTATACTGATTTCCTTCCGCTTCTAACCTCTCCTCTAAATCATGACCCGAAACTGACTGTTGCCCTACGAGAACCTTTCTGACAAATGTTTCGGCAGCCTTGCTATTCTTTACCCTTTCTTTAACCTCTACTTCTGGAAATGGCCCACAATTTAGACCCGTCATTAAGCAGAATTCCATCATCCCAAAACGAATCGGCTTTCCATCAACCACAAATCACATTTCATTCTTCTTTTTGCATTTAACAAAGTGCACCAAAAGATAATGTGCACCTTGCCCCCAGAAGTCCTTACTCCAATTTTCTCACAAGTCCACAAAATGACCAAAACATGAGCTTTTGAATCGGTCCATCCCTCTCCAATGTCCATCTAGAATGTCCTCAATTTTCCTAAACACTTGCCAACTAGACCTAATGGTAATCCTTGCCTGGAAGTATGGCATAACATCATTTACAACCTCAAGCCCATAATCCTTATAATTTATGCTCCTAGAACACTGCATAATCGATATACACTACATATCAACACAACAAAAAACCAAAACAAGCAACATGTTGGAGTGCATTGGGGGAGTGGCTGTTTTTGGCTTCCAGAGGTCCAATGAAGACAAGGGAGGCCTAAGGAGGATGCTGTAGCAGGTTCGGTGCTCTGAACTTCATAGAAGAGAGCGGCATAGGGGGGCTCGGGGCTTGCCTACATATTGCAAGGCTGGCTACGCATGGATAACCTTGCAATTTGTAGGGCAGCCACCCAGCCCCTCATATTCCGCTCTCTTTGCCAATAAAAGCCATCCAAACTACCACAAACAACCTCCCTAGGGCCTCCCTTGGCTTCTCGGCCCTTTGGAATCCCAAAACACCCACTCCTCTAATGGCCTCCAATTGCTCGACAAAATGCAACAATGACCCTAACAACAAACACTAACCAAATATCCCTAAATTGGCACCAACAACCAATAATTTCATAATATATATATATATATATATATTACTTGTTTTTCATCTTCTTCCACCTCCTCGTCGGAATTTTCGTGGCATCCTCCTCTTCATTTTCAATTTCGACTCCTCCCTTTCCTTGTTCCGCTAGCAAGATGTCTTATTTCGATGCCGTCTCCTCTCCTGGTAGAGCAACTTCAGTCATCAGAAGTTGCTCCACCGCAATCTCCAATTCTCCAATTTTCGAACCACTAGCGTCCAGGATTTGGAGAGGGGTTGGGTCTTTGTCAAAATCTTTGTTTAGGTCAACCATTGTTTCTTTATAAGTAAGAGGGAATGTCTTCAATACAAACCGCAAAGGATTTCAACAATGGGTGCCGGAAAACAGGAAGAAAAACGTGGTGAAGGGTGGTTGTTTTTGTCGGCTTTTTTTTAGGTTGCTTAAGTGATTTGAATGTGTGTGGGGGGTTGAGTCTGTCGCTTAATCGATTTTGATTGGGGGGCTTTTTAATTTTCAAAATTTAAACTAATTTTTGTTAATTATACTATTACCTATATATGTTTAAATCTTTGCAGTCTAACCCTTTTTGCATGTTTAGTGATTCTGAAGTGTGCTCCGTCAGTTTTTCAAACTTAAAAAAAAAAAATACAAAATAATTTCAAGGTCAGCTTCTTAAATGCAAACTAGGTCATCACAGTTAAATTTCCTCATCGTTCACGCCATCCTTCCCACGCTCCACTTCTCTTCCAGCAAATTCACACACCCGAGATCTAACTAAGAAACACAATTACTAGAGGCTTCTCTTCTACTCCCCACTCTCAATGTCTATCACTGGCTATGTCAGTCTGCGCCAAAACGGCATCGTTCCTGGCAAGCATGCCTTTCACTTGCTTCTGAAGGCGCTTTCCAAGTCGAAAAACAAAAACCAAAACCCTTTTCAGTTTTATGCTCATATTATTAAGTTTGGTTTTGATTCTGATCCATTTGTTCGGAACTCATTGATTTTTTGTTTTGGTAATTGCGGGTATCTCAAATTTGCGCGCAAATTGTTTGATGAGAGTACAGTGAAAGACGTTGTTTGTTGGACGGCAATGATGGATGGTTATGTGAAAAATGGTTGTGGTGTTAAGGGATTGCAGTGTTTCATGGAGATGAGATCAATGGGTGTGAGAATCGATGAAAAGAGTATTGTAAGTGTTCTTAGTGCAGCCGGAATGGTGGGTGATGTTTGGTTTGGAAGGTGGATTCATGGGTTTTATATAGAAAGAGGAAGAGTGCAAGTGGATATTTATGTTGATAGTGTTCTTGTTGATATGTACTCAAAGTGTGGATCTTGTGATGATGCTTATAAAGTTTTTAATGAGATGCCGAGTAGAAATGTGGTTTCTTGGAGTACAATGATATCAGGCTATGTTTTAGGCAATAGGTTCAAGGATGCATTGCATTTGTTTCAAGAAATGTTAATGGAGGATGATGTTAAACCTAATGAATCTACGTTGACTAGTGTTCTCACTGCTTGTGCACTGCTAGGTGCTTTTGATCAAGGAAGGTGGATTCATGGGTATATAAATAGGAATAATTGTGAATTAGATGTCAATTCGTCAATACTTGGAACGGCCTTGATAGATATGAATTCAAAGTGTGGGTGGGTGGAAGAAGCTTTAATGGTTTTTAACAACTTACCAACAAAGAATAAGAATGTGTACGCTTGGACTGCCATGATTAACGGTTTGGCAATGCATGGTGACGCAGTAAGTTGCTTGAGTATTTTTAGGAGCATGGTCAGGAATGGGGTTCAGCCAAATGAAATCACCTTCATTGGTGTCCTGAGCGCTTGTTCTCATGCAGGGCTTGTAGATGAGGGGTGTAAATTGTTTAAATCAATGAGAAAAGATTATGGTGTGGAGCCTAATGTAAATCACTATGGTTGCATGGTTAATATACTTGGTCGAGCAGGGTATGTGGAGGAAGCAATGAAGCTGATTGAAGACATGCCAATGGAGCCTACTCCTGGTGTATGGGGAGCTCTATTTGGTTCCTGTATGAATTACAAAGCCTTCGAGCTAGGAGAATATATAGGAAAGCATTTAATCAAGCTACAGCCCGATCACAGAGGTAGATACGCGCTTCTGGCAAACTTGTATTCAAAATGTAAAAGATGGGATGCAGGTGCTCATTTGGGGAAACTAATGAAAAGGAAAGGGGTGAAGAAGGCTTCCGGCTGTAGTTGGATACAAGTGAATGGTGTAGTTCACGAGTTCATTTCCCTCGGTAGATTACATTCTGAGTCTAATGATATATATAAGATGTTGGATTGTATTACTGTACAATTAAAAATTGCTGGTTATGTTCCAGACTCTTAACTTATTAGCCTTTGATATTGATGCTTGTTGAGACAATAAGATATAAAAGGGTTATATTTATCTAAAAAAATTATTTCCTCTTTCAATCATGAACCCTAATTCAATAAATCATGATACTATTTTAAACAATGAAGACAAAACATATGCAATTGAAAGAGTTTGATCAAGATCATGAAAGTAAATTGGAGATGGAATTTATGCTTTGCAATTGTAAGTTGCTTTGTTCATTTTTCTCTTTACTTTTTTCCTTTTCTACACTTCTACAAAATTTATAAGTTAGTTTAAGGTAATCAAAATTCTTAATTATTATTCTTACAATCTTAGAAGTTAAAACATATGGGAATGGATTCCATGTCAAAACAAAAAAAGCATAAAAAATATTAAAAATATAAATAAAATGGTATTTTTGGAAGTAGGTGGGTTTTATAAACACAATTGCATATGCTAAAATATTTTTAACAGGGAAAACTTAGAATTGATGTCTTGAAAGATAAATTGTGGGAGACCAATATCATCAACTCTTAAAAAATTCAAATTATATTATGAATTAATTTGAAAAAACTAAATAACACATATTTTTTAAAATAATTTGAATATTTTTTACGAGTCCTTAGGACTCGAAGATGTGTAAGATTGTTGAATTTATTCTATTGAATCATTTGAAGATGCATTGCAGATTCCAATTTTTTTATTCGTGTTATTTGTTTTTTATAAATACAATGAAATAGGGGGTTAAATTGAATTCTTACTCAACATTTTTCTTCCTATTTGAGGCTCAAACTCAAAGTACGTATTCATTTCATATCGAAGTCAAAAGTACTATGTCTTGACTGCAGAAATGACTATTCATGATTCCATAAGTGAATCAATTACCTACTAGTTCAAAACTAGAGAAATGTTGTGGTAAAACTTCCTTTGAAACAATGTGGTAGAAAGCAACATGTGACTTGAAGGATATGATCAAATGTGATTTTTTTTTCCATCCACCATTTTCAATTTTATATTATTTAGAAATGAATGGACTCTTGGCTCAACATCCTTTGTTTGGTTCTACTACAACCCTCATTTTTGTTGGGTTGTAAAGTAAAAAGTACTTGATGGAGCTCAAGTAGAAAATACTTATTCATTTCTCAGGGGCAAAGGGCTGGAGTTAATACCAATCAATACGTTGGAAAAAACTTCAAAAGTGTAATTGGAACAAACTTCGTAAGTATATTTTTGATATTGAAATAGAAAGGATCCGATTCAAACAATTTTCCAATGCAAAAGGAAGATCTTTTTGAATTTGTAAAACTCTTTCGATCAAAAGTGTATCATGTGGGAATTAATTCACTACAAGAAAAATGGATTTCAGCGACTAGCAAAATTAGAAGCCGATTGTAAAATTTAGACACTAAATGTTTTGCACGTCTAAATTTTGTAGTCGCCACATAGTTGTGAAGTTGTTGTTGCAAACGGAAAGTTTTTTTTGGTGACTAACAAATTAGTCGATAATTGCTAGTTGAAATAGTCTCTAGCTTAGACGCTAAATGTGCAAAGGTAATTTGGTAAAATTGTATCACGACTAATCAATTAGTTGCAAAATGTACCTTTTAGTGACTAATAATTTGTCATGAATGCCACAAAAATTAGACACTGCAGGTATAAGGATAATTTCGTAAAAGTTTTTCGTGACTATTTTATTAGTGGACGAATGTATCTTTTGGTAACAAAAATTTGGTAGTTAATTCCAATAATTTTAAACGCTGAATGTGGAATCCAAATATCATAAATTACTTTTCGTTACTATGAAATTAGTTGCATAATGTGTTTTTTTGCGAGAAAATAATTAGTGACAAAAGCATTTTGTTTTTAGTGGGGAAATGTATATACCCAATTTGGTTTCTTAAATTTTGTAACTAATGTTTAGTCATTAAAATTATTTTTTTACATCTAAATAATATAGTAATCAATTGTATACGAGTTTTGGGAACGAATTATTTTAGTCAAATATTATTGATTAGTCTTTGCTGTTGTATTATTTTTACAACTAATACTTTAATAGGTAATTGTTTAACATTTAAGAGCATTATTTTTGCTCTTTGTAAATGACCTAGTTTATACATTCAACATCAACAAAATAAATGACACAATATAAAAATCTGACCACTAACATAAAATATCATATTTTCATATATATGTATAGTCCATACATGGATTTTTATGCATGATGGGCAATAAAAATCCAAAATGCACTATCATGTGTGCATAACCAAAAAAGAAAGCATGCACCCCACATTTTCATCAGTGGCTATCTATCTGTGCATAATGAACAAACAAAATGTTCACTCCATGTACACCATCTAAGGATATATATGCAAACAATCCTAAAAAGTCCAAAAAGATGGTCCTACCCCCACGTCAAAATATCTACTGCCCATACAACAAAAAACTAACCATCAATATCGTTAGCATCTCAAGTGTCACTAATTGAGGTTCTTGAAATAGCTGTAGCAAATGAGGAAGACTTTTCATCGGTTGGAGATGGCAATGGCAGTCGAGTTGGAGCTCTAGCAAGTTGGGCGTGTGTAGCTGCTATAGTGATCTGCTTCAGCATCTCCAACATTTGAAAATGTTGTTCTTGAAGCATTTTTATTTACTGTTTTTGTTGATCAAATAGGATGAGCTGCTCCTCCAACTGTTTAATCTTATTTTCTTATTGTTGCACTATGCGTCTTAACTCTGCTTCTGCTGCAGTATCATGATGTTGAGTCTTGTGAAAATGCAAAATTTTGGTTAAATCTGGAAGCTTTACCCAGCCCTTCCTCACATATTTCTGTTTCTGTTTTTTCACTTTCCCCTGCTTGTGTTTCATCTTGCAACTCTTTATCATTTTTTCCTACCATCAATTCAATGCATAATCAATAAGTCAAGCAAGAAACTAAATAATTACAAATAAATTATAATTAATCTGAGGTATACAATATGTGACAAAAACTTATGAAATAACAACAGAAAAGAAAGACTACTCCTCAAAGTTCACAGAAATTAATTTTACAATAAGAAAATGCAGTACAGAATGTACTGCAGCACCAAACAAAAATCAAATTGATGGAGTAGAAAAAGCAAGTATCTCACAGATTATCGATCTAAACTTCAATTCTCTAGTTTAAGATTTTACAGTTAAATTTTTACATAAGTTTAAAAACAAGCTAACAGATATTAAATAGTTAATGAACTTGAATTAAAGGAATCCCAGAGAATAAAGCAAGAAAAACAAAAGTAAACAAAGGTGCTAAATATAATGGCATTGTTGCTATTAATGAAACTGAATTTTTGTGGAGATAGCGTGGGGATTAGCCAATAGTGGGATGCCTTTCTTGTGGGCTGTTCAACCAGGATCTATCCATGGAGCAGAATGGCTTGAAGCATTGCCAAAAGGGTTCCTTGAAATGCTAGATGGAAGAGGACATATAGTGAAATGGGCTCCCCAGCAAGAATTGCTCGCTCATCCTGCCACAAGAGGTTTCTGGACACACAATGGTTAAAACTCTACTTTGGAAAGCATATGTGAAGGGGTCCCCATGATTTGCCACCCTAGTTTTGGTGATCAACTGGTGATTGCAAGATATGTTAGTCATGTTTGGAAGGTTAGGTTGCATTTAGAGAAGAAGCTAGAGAGGGGGGAGAGAGAAAGAGCAATTAAAAGGTTAATCTTGGAAGCTAAGGACCTGGAAATGAGAAAGGGAATTATGGATTTAAAGGAAAACGTGGATCTTTCTCTAAAAGGAGGTTCTACATGTTGTTTTGCAATGTCTATGAAAGAGTCAATTCCTTGAATATATTCATCGCACAACCTATTAGACAACTAAATCCATCTTTTATCTATTGTGACCTTCTAAGATCGCAAACAAAACATAAATTCAGTATCATAAATATGTTCTCTCACAAAAACAATATTCAACCTAATTAAACCACGTTCATCCATATAAAGAATATACTACTAGTGATAATGTAAATGAGTATAACGATCAATAAATTAATTAAATTTCAATTTACGTAACTTATACCTTCTTTTTTTTTTTGTTGTAGTAGCAGTGGTGCCCACACTCTTCTCAGCATCGGTCTTCAAGTCAACTTTAAGATCCTCAAATACCTTAACGTGTGCTACCTTAGTTAAAACAAAAAAATTAGGTTATAATTTTATAATTTATCAAGAATATGTCATTTTGCTTATATAAAAATAAATATAGCCAAAGATTTTCAGGCTGTGTAAAACACTTCAACTGTACAGTATTCCAAATCAAACTTTAACTTTGAAATGTACAAAAACAATAAATCAGATTGGTTGAGTACGATTCTGCCACATTTATAATTTTTACTTACAACTATCTATGTACTTGTAGCAGAATCTTTCGGCCTAAACTATTCAAACTCGGCTTCATAAATAAATGCATACAGCGAACTGTTTGATTATGAACTCAAAATAACAAAAGAAGCAACTGCACAAAATAACTTATCCACAAAACAAAAGAAGGTCGATATGACACTGAATATTATCATAAACAAGCAACTGCGCAAAATAACAATAGAAACAACACAGCCAAAACAAGCAGCCTGAAGTTTTGTTTATGAACTCAAGCAACCACAGAATATGACTCTGAATATTATCACAAACAAGCAAAACAACTTATCCACTCTAGCGTATGACACTAAATCTTATCCACAAAACAAAAACTTTTAAATTATTTATGAACTCAAGCAACCACAGAAACCATCTTCCTAACTTCAAAATAAAACCAAAAATAATAATTATATTTACCTAAACACTCAAAAGTTGATTGTAAAGGAAGCCACATGTATCATGTTCTCCATTCACAACCAAAACAAGGAATAACAGTAAAACTCCATGATGGAATAACCAAATCGAACAATCCTCACCTGTTTACTTTCGTCGGATTTTGCTTTACAAAAGATAACTAGCTTATTCCTGCACAATGAACCAAAAATCAGTAACTAAACATAACAATATTAACCAGATGACGTCAAATTGAAAAAGACAAGAAATGAATCCTTACCTAAATCGAAGAGCATGTTATGGGTTTGAGTTTAGATGGTGTTGTCGTGGTCTTGGCGCGGCGAAGCTGGGTTTCTAGCTGGGAAACAAAGTTCCTGGAGACTGGAGAGTGTGATTACGTGATAGGGTGTTTGGGTTTGGAGTCTTTAGGTGCTCGTGTGGGTGGTAAGTGAGAGAGAGAGATCTAATCAGTGGAGAGGTGTTGCAGTGGCAACTGGAGAAGTCTAGATTTCAAGGAAAAAATGGAGAAGAAGATGCGAACAGAGTGGAGAAGTGGACAGTGTTTTGCGTCTTAGGGTAAAATTTGTTTGAGGATTTTGTATAACTGGGTTTGCTATTTTTTTAATTTTTTTTAATTTCAAGATTCAAAAATTTATGTGCAAAATTGTTCACTTTTTTTTTTTTATTTTAACCTAAAATCGGGTTTGGGGTTTTGTTTTTCTTTAATTGTAAGGATTTAGGGACTTTTAATTTGTTTACTTTTTAAATTTTAACGAAAAACTGTTCACTTTTTAATGAAATTGGAAATTCAGTTTCTTGTATTTTTGTGGACCAAAATCGAATCAGTTTTCTAGATAAACGAAAAACTGATTCAGATCCCAGTTAAGTTCGGTTTCTACATTTTTTCTAAACACCCCTACATTTGGGCATTTGAGATACGCCTCACAAAAACTCACCGAAGTTAACAATCTCCGTCGAAATAGGCATAGAATAAGCTTCTGAGTCAGTGAGTGAATCGTCGTCTACTAAACGAGAGTAGTAGAAACTAGAAGTTTTGTTCCAATGCCGAAAGGAGGTTGACTATATAAGGGTTTGCACAAATGAGTGAAATAGCGGGTAAGCAAAAGTTTTAGGGAAAAAATGTGGGAATAGTTAATGAAAAATGGGTGGGAAAAGTTTTAGGCAATATTTTTTTGTTTTTTATATACTTAATCTTTGACAGTTAAAAAATGTCAAGAATTGAGACTACAACAATCAAGAACAAGATTCGTAAAATTTATTTTTAACCAATTCCTTGACAATTAATAACTGTCAAGAATTATCCAAAACAGTTAAGGATTATTTCAAATTCTTGATAGTTCATAAACTGTCAACAATTTATCAATAATTAAAATTCTTGACCTTTTTTTAGAACAGTCAAGAAAATCTGTCAACTCATTCTGTCAAGGAAGGTGGTTTTTTGGTAGTGAGTTGAATCACACTCAAATCAAAAACCCAAATCAAAAAGAGATCGAAAGAACAAACCCACAAAACAGTTTAAAAAAAAAAAAACCCAAAAGATACACAAAAATAACTATATAGAAAATAAAATCGAAGATCTAATGAACAAGAAGGTGAATCAAAATGCAAACATTAGTTGAAGAAATCGATGAATATGAAACCGTCTCGAACGAGTATCCATAAAACAAAAAACTTAAATACCCAATTGAGAAAATAAATAGATATTATCAAACACCATTCGTTTATTAGTAACAATAAACTAATTTATCGCACTCATTACAATTATAATGGTCATTGTAATGTCAAATGAAAGAGAAGATAAAAATAAAATCACCCATTACGAAGTTAAAGCCACCCATTTAGGAACGTCACTAACAACATATGCTTAAACAAATTAAAGCAAATGTTGTGAAGAAACGGATTGAAAATCAAACAATAAAATCGAAATATATATCATCTGTAAAAGAATGAGCTTTGACATAAAAATAAAAATAAGTTACCTTCAATAGGGTAATGTAGGCGGCAAAAGTAGAATCAAGGATATGGTAAAGTGAAGAGGGAAATTGGATACAGAGGAGTGCGTGGAGAAAAAGATGACTCATGTAAGAATAGGGAAACTGGGGTATGAGGGATTTGGTTTTAAGTCTGGGTTTATATAGGATGGGCCTAGTAATTGTTTCTAAAAACATAGGCATTTATTTATTTGATTAGTTATTTGTAGCAACCAATGTTAGTCACCATTTGTAACTTTCAAATTTTGTAAACGATCAATAGCAACTAATATTTTAGTAGTTGCCAAAAAAAAAAAAAAAAAAAATTGCAACAAATGTTGTAGTTGCCATTGTCAAATTTTTTATTTGCAAACTTATTGTAACTAATTGATTTTGGTTACTAGTTGTATATATCATTTTTAATAAACAATATTTAGTGGCTAACATTTTGGTTGCGAAAAAATCCTATTAACAACTATAACTTTAGTTGCCAAAAATAACATACCCAAAATTTCAATTTATTTCAAGCAAGAACATGAGGCTCCAAACTCATTCGCAAAATTTACCATACATTTGGCAACTAAAATCTTAGTTGTCAAAAAAAGATAATTTACAACTAACTAATTAGTTACGCCACAGTAATTTTAGTCACAANGCCAGTTACAGTTACACAATACACTGATATAATTAAAAGATTATACAATATAAAGAGTATCCTAAGACTAACAAAAATAGAAGATTAAAAAATATCCGTGATAGTGAATGTGAAGGGTTTGTATTAAAGTTAATTTAATGTTGAATTGATAATTAAAGCAATAAATAATAAAGAAATTAAGAGTAACAATTTGATACCCGCGTGCAGTTTGTTTATTGCTTGTATTTCAAGTATTCAAGCTTATCAATAAGATACCATGCTTAATTTACATTTTGAATCACAGACAAAAGACTATATATCTCAAAAAGATCTAGTGAAACTTATGAAAAAACGTAAATGATTACTATTGTATTTGTCAATACAAAATAGAGTCCGTTATACAAAATTAATTAATCAATTGAATATTCGAGAATGAGTAAATCGTTAATTTGAAATATTTGATTTATTAAATTTTAAAGTGAATTTTATTTAATATATTTTAATTATAAAGTAAATGTGTACGCTGGTTTATCTTTCCCTCAAGCCCTATATGTAAAATCAAATCAAATCATTAATTCATTCATTTGGTGGCTATGATTCAAGAGAGTTGCTTTCAATATATATAACCAAAAATTGGATCCCTATGTTTGATTTCTTTTGACTTTACCACTTCACACAGAAAAAACAATTAGAGCGAGTGATCGTCCCTACAACATTTACTCTTTTCCCATGCCATGATTGATGGCAAAGCAAAGCAATGAAATGCAATTCCACAACACCTTTGAGTTTTGATCTCTTTGGCTTTACCCCATTTTTGGAAGGAACCCCACTCCACACCACAATACCAGCTGCTCCTTCTCAGTCAACAGTCTCACCTAATGCAAACAACCAAAAGAAAAACAAAAGTTTTCATGAAGCGATGGTCGAAACTAAAAAAGATGACCATGAAAGAAACTAAAGAAAGCTATTTATAAAGCCTTTATATTAAATGGTTCGATTTTTAAATCCTTATGTTTATAAAGGCGCTTCATATATAATTTTAAATGGATTTAAAGTCTATTTCTCCATTCCCTTATCCCCACTCTGAGAATAATCTTTTCCTTGTTATTTCTCCTTAGCCTCTAGGCTGTTACGATTTTACTTTCTCATTTGTTATCATATGCCATGTGAGTTTGGTGGATCTTTCTCATGGCTCTGTTTCTTTAATTAGTCCTGAAGCATGTACTGCTATATTGTGGAAATCATCCCAAGCAGCTCCATTGGAAAAAGATTAAAATTTTCTATCAAATTAAAGCGGACCTGGTGGCTGCTACGAATTGGAATCCATGGGCGATTGAATGAATTATTGAGGTGTGTGTGTCATCTCTGACCTCACCTCACGCCCACCTATGAAACCCGATATGCTCAGAGAAAGAGAGCAGCCAATAAATTGTTGTTTGTAAACTTACTCAATCGCATGCACGCAAACAGAGCAGTACATCCCTAGCAGAAAATTTGAAGGACCCCTTCTATCAAAAAGCATAATATGTATAGACACATACACACATAAATTAAATATTAAAATCAGAAAAATGTCATATAATTTACAACAATATTGCATTGGATGGAGCTATGGAATTGTTCGTTCCATGGAAAATCTTTAGAAAAGCAGATAACAACAACAACAAAGGATACATAAAACCACAACCAACAATATATACCATAAAAAAAAATTAAAAAGAAAAAACGAACCTTCATGACAGAATTAATAGCATTAGAGCATCTCCAAAGGACTCGTTATATGACCGAAACTCTTTATTATAAAGAGTTTATCCATAAAAACAAGAGTCCAATAGACTATTTATTCTTTAAATATAAATTAAAAAGTGAATTTGACTCTCTACATCTAAAGAGTCAAATTTCACTCTCTATCCCAATATTATTAAATAAATTACAAGTTTCTATACATTTTATTATTAATTCTCTCCCCTATTTATTAAGCCTAATTTAAAAAGTCCATTGGATTTGAATACAAATTTTGTTCTTTATATTTAGAAATTAACGAAGATGTTCTTTATTTATATGTGTTAGAGATGCTCTTAGTAGTAGCAAGTCACTGATCAGTTTTTCACTTTTGCTTATTTTCTCTTCATATATGCAGCGAAGGCAAACAAAAATAAATAAACAAATAAGAGAGTTACCAATCTCATGTGGAAGACTTCGTATCTCCTATTCTCCTTATATCTATTTTTAATGGCACCATAGCAACTTGGACTTCAACCCATAACATATAACACAAAGTTGATGAATCTGACTATAACAGTACAACGTAATTTTTCTTTCGAACGAATTGAATTAGTAATTTCCCCTAGTGGTCTAGTTATTGCAATGTTTAGGGTGATATTTAAAGATACAAAATTATGACCAACAACCTCTTGCATCTGCTTATCAACCACCCAATAGCAAGCCAAAATCCCTATCAGGGCATGTTATCAGAAATCTCTCCACCAAAAACCTCAACTTCTCAACTTTCTCAAATAAAACAGAACTAAATTTTCAGAAAATTCCACCACTCAACCTCAACTTTACACAATCAATGTTATCAAAAATCTATACAACGACCTCAAGTTTTCAACATTCTTTTACAAAAACAGAACTAATGTTATCAGAAAACCATCCACAACCACATTAAGTTTTCAACTTCTTTCACAAAACATAACTAATGTCGTCACAAACCTCTCTACACACAAAAAGTTCTCAAACATTATGAGAAATCTCTCCACAACCACTTAAAATTTTAAACTTTCTTCCACAAAAGAGAATAAAATCCAAGAAGGAAACAGACCCAGATGCAGAAAGAGAGGGAGAAGTGGACGGTCTAACCTTGGCAACCATTCGTTGAAAGGTGATGTCTTCATCGTCAATCTTATGATTGCCTTTACCCCACTTCTTATCTGCAACCAAATAAATTCAAAACCACAATATGATTAAACAATTAA